CTGGGAACCTCCAAGGAGACTGGAACACACCGGCGCATCATTGTCGCAAAGTCGTCCAGGAGGCGCCTGCTCGACAAGGACGTCACAGCTTCGCAGAGGGCAAGGGCCCTCGCGATGAGACGGTCTCTGCGGCCGATGCCAGCGCCCCCTGGTCACAATGAATCACAGAGGCTGCCTCTGAATGCAACGCCCGCTGCCCCTTTGCAACCGTGCTGTTCGTGAAGCGGCGCTCCTCCATGCGAGCGGCCAACTCCTGGAAGACACGCGAGCACGTGATGTTCCCCCGTGCTGCATCGCAAACGCAGCCCCCTTTGTACCCTTTCCCCTCGGTGCGATGCGATGGTGAGCTACGTTAATCAAGGCGCATCTGAGCTACGATGACATGTGTGACGCCTATCCTGGTGAAGCCCAAGTAGAAACAATTGTCAGGGGCATCGGGGCTGCGGTGCATGCGCACCTTATCTGGCTTCGCCACAGCACAAGGGTATCCATGTGCAGGGGGGGGGGGGGGTCAAGTAGGTGTCGGTCTCTTAGCGCATGCATCATATTCTGAGCGGTCCTCATGGGCTATGCTTCACTTCCCTGGACTCTATCAATGCTTATGTTTCGAATCGGTGGCCGGTGGCGGTGGCATTTTTGGCACGCGCGCAGCTAATACACCTACCAGGTGCAGCTACGAGCTGCACAGACTAGGGGCTGCAAAATGCCACTGGCGCGTTCGGTGAAGCTCCCTGTTGGCCCGCGATGCGTGTGAGGGGCGCGCCGACAATCAATGGATGGGCATCGATCACGGGTGGTTTCATTGGTGATGCTGACTGCGATATTGATGATCATTCTGAACCTGACGAGGAGAGGGGTGGGAAGGACGAGAGGGCGCGGAGCGGGGCGTTGCGACATCAACCGGGGGTCTAACTCCACAGGATGTCTGGGGAACAACTGAACCATGGGCCCTGCCGAACCTTATGTTTCAACAATCTCACCCGGAAGCTGCATCGTGCTTGCCGACGCCAATGTTTCAAACACCGCACCCCCCTCCCCCTCTCAAAACGAACGTCTCGAATCATGGCTGGTCGTTCCCTGGGCGGCGGGCGGCGACAATGGTGGATCGGCCGGGAAATAGCTTGCTGGTTAACATCGCCATCCTTTCTCTAAGGGCGCGTGCTGGGCGTCGGCTGCAGATGGCACTCCCGCCCCAGGGGCCGCGGCGTGCAATCGGCTGAGGGTTTTCCACTCGGCGTCGAGGGGGCATCTGGCGATCGTCCTCATTGCTGGTCCGAACGACGCTGCCCCCGTCGCGCGATGTCTAAGCGCGGCGCGCTTGCGAAGCTCACGGAAGCGAGCGCGCTCGCCAGCAGATAAACTAGTGCATTCACGAGCGAGCTCCTTGGAACATGCAATCCTGATGCCCCTGTACCTCTCGCTCGCGAGCGCCCTCCAGGGCCCTCCACCAGGGGTGCGCGTGGTCCGTGCCCCCCCGGGCGGCGGGGGATCTGCGCGTCTCTTGCGCGCTCGCCGCCGACGGAAGACAGTCGCGGCCAAACGGCTCTGCTGAATGCGCTCGCGGAGGCAAACCTGAGATGAGATGTGATCGAAATTCAATGTCTGCAATCTTGGCCGCTTAGTCTGGTTGGGCGCGGCCGTGGGGGTCTGGCGGATCCAAGCGCTGCGGTTCTCGAGATGAACGGTCGCGGCAGAGCTGTGGGCGACCAGGACAAGCAACTCGATCAGCGCGCCCATGCGTTTAATGCTTGTACCGTGGTGCCCAATGAAGTCGCGAGTGCATATGTCTAGCATGCGCACCGACTCCAGCTTTGCAGGTGTGCCAACTGGGTCCACGAGCAGCAGTGAGGTCAGAAATGGCGGCACATCGCGCAGGGTAAACACGTTCTGGTAGAAGAGCGCACCAATGCGAGCGAACGATCTGAAAGCCTGTGCCTCCACAACCTGGATTGGGCAGATACTGGGTGCAAAGACCACTCGCTGGCGTGGAATGCTGTTCTGGGTCGCTTCAGGCATTCATCGCCCATCCCGCCCCGCCCCGCGCCCTCTCTGGGACTGGCCACCGCCGCGAGGTGGCGACAGCGCGCAGCGATCCAGCAGACGCAGCGAGCGAGGCCCAACGGCCAACCTCTGCAACGTCTGAACGCATACCCGCCCACGCCGACAGCGTCGGAGCAATCGCATTGAGGCGCGCCGCAAGTATCAGAAGAAGGGCTGCGGCAAAGACCCCGTGAACGACGGCGCAGCCTTCCTGTTGCGCGCGTTCTCCTTGGCGTAGTCCCTGGCCCCGCCCCGCCTGAAGTCGGCCATCGTCGTCGTCCGCGTCGGCGCCAGTCGTCCGCGCGCGGGCCGTCCTCGACGTCCGCCAACGCCAAATGCGCGTCGACCCCCGCGCCAGCGCCAGGGCGAACGCGTGAGTCGTTGACCTGATTCACAAAGTGCCTATACGTGGAGGCACCGATGTCGCGCAGAAACCTCAGAAGGCACACGTCGCGCGCCGCCCTCCCGGCACCCGTCCAGCGCTGGCTCGGGGAGATCTTGGGCAGCCCCGGCGCGAGGTATGGCAAGATGGTGGCGGATCTAGTCTTGCGCCTCGCCCTTGCTCGCCGCCCGCGGCGCGACAAACTTGAACTTGCCAAGTTTCCACCAGTCGCCTGGGAAGCACTTGCATACTGCGTGCTCGAGCTCGCTGCACTTGCAGTCTTGGCCGAGGAACATGGAACATACCCACTCCTTGCGCATCGCGACCTCGTCGCTGCAGTACAGATGCCCGGTTGACCCAATGGCGCCCTCGATCGCTTCCATGGCGGCGCCCCTAAACTTGGTCAACGATCCACCTGGCCTCGCGGGCAAAGTACATGCAATCATGCCACGAGCCCATCCATGATGGAAGGCGTGCCGTAGAGCGACTGGTGGACTCCGTAAATGATGTGAACCAGGCAGTGGAACGTCAACAAACTCCAACTTTGGTCGCCCCTCCCATGAGCCAAGAGTCGCTCGGTCAAATCGTTGCACCCAGCCCTGTCTACAGCAACTGATCGCACGCGCCTGCAGTGCCCACGTGCAGCCGATTGAGTCGCCCGAGACTGTTCTACGATGACCGATCTAGCGCCATCAATGGAGACAGCTTGTGGCACGTGAAAATGATATAGCGGCCACCATCCTTCATCGCGCAAGCGTCGCACCCATGCTAGTTCAAGATGTGGGTCGGTGAACGACGTTCCAAGCATGATGAGATTCGCGTCGAGGTTCCGCCAGCGCAAGCAGGGGGGCGTCGGCAACAGCTGCCGTGGCGACATCAGAGCGCTTTCGTTTCGCAATGCTTGAGATTGTCATGTCACACAGTCGTAGGAAGCAATCTCAACATACAGATACAATGTGGAACTGGAGCCATCCGTATCGCAAGTCGCCTTCAGCTTGTCTTGAAAAGTATTACAGCATTATTGTTCCAATGAGTGTGCTGCCATGGCTGTCAATCCATTTCTGCCCCTCATCCTCCGTCGATCTGTACCTAGTGCGTGCGCTCCGGCACTCATTGGCACGTGGTGGCGAGTGCCAGAGTCAAACATCGAACGTGACACGCAGACGGAGTCCTCATCAACCACTTCCTCCCTCCTCGTGCGATGATGATTCAGCATCGCCGCACAACCTAGGATCAGCGCTGCCACTTGTCTGGGCCTCAACTGCAACAACATCCTACTCCCAAACATATGGAACTCATCGAGGGCATGTTTCCACGGACAACCCTACTGGACCAACTCGACATGTGCTTTCGATATTTCGTCATGGGGCGATTCCTGAATGTCTGCCAGTGCCGACGCCCACTGGCCATCATCATGTCCGTCGTCATCGGCCACGCTGGCCAACGCCCGAGACCAATCTCGTAGTGCATAAATGGACGAACGTGGACACGTGAGGAGGGTATCTGGCTCAGAAGAGCAACCCTGGTGAAACTTGAGCCAACATGGCTACGGACGCACATGTTCACGCACGGGATCGATTTCTTCGGGGGGGATCTTACGGGAGCATTTACACGGGCTGCTCTTCAGACTTGGCCGCGTGACAAACGCGACCGGACAATCCCCAACGTTTCCCCCACTGGCCCCGAAGATCGATACACCGCCTTTTCAAAACGCACATGCTGCCAAACGTTGGGACAGAGTTGCGCCAAGATCTCGGAACATGTGCTCCCCCAGTCGTTGTGGGAACCCTCGGGGAACATTTTCGGGATGAAGAAGGTGAAGCAGGCCAAAAAGAATAACGAGGATGATGCCGAGGGGGAAGAGGAGAAGGAGGAAGCCTCTTGCGAGCTTGATCGGGCCTCTTAGGGGCCTTTCGACGGCCTTCTCGTTGCCTTGTGGAGATATTTGGGGCAGTATTGGAGCCATATGGGTCCATCTTCGGGCCATCTGGACGTCCTGGAAAGCATATGGGACCGTATTGGAGAACCCTCGCAACGGCGACTCGACCCCCGCAACGCCCCCGCCCCGCGAAATTGCCAACCCTCCAAAGGGAACTTATCCAATATGGGAGAGCCTTGAGGGGTTGAGGGACGGGCGCGCGCACGCTAGAATTCATGAGCCGCATGTAATCACGCGCATGCCAACCCACCATGCCGCCCAATGAACTCGCCATATTCGGTTTCCAAACGCCACTGGCAGACACCACAAGCAAGTCCCAAATGCAGGTGCCTTGCGGTTTGTACTCGGAGAACACTGGAGGGGCGATGAGTCATGAGGCGGGTTGCTTGCGGGTCGCTTGCGGGGAAAAGTAAGACACCAAGCACAAATCCCTACAGGGACCCAGCGGTAAAATCTCAGAAAGATCCTGCGCAACCCCTCCTCGCAGCCACCCCCGTCTCGGACGTAAGCATGGGGCCGCCTCGGGTCGTCGGTCGTCGGAAGATCGCAATCGAGTCGGACCCGGTTGCTCGGAGTCGACACCGACTTGTATCGATCGGACCGACATCGGCCCTGGCAGCAAGGCGGGGGGCCGCTGGCCCGAGCTGGGCGGCCCCGCGGCGAGGAGGTGCCGGCTGGAGCCGGGCGGCGACGCCGCGAGCCGCGGGCTGGAGCCCAGCAGCCCGCCGGCGGCGAGGAGGAGCTGGCCCGAGCTCGGCGGCGAGTCGGCGGGGCTCCTCGGCGGGGCGGCAGGGCGGCGGCCAGCGGGGCGGCGGCCCGCGAGGCGTCGGCCGGAGAGGCGGCGGTGGGCGAGGCGGCGGCGGCGAGGCGGCGGCCACGAGCCCTCATAGCCAGGTGGCACAACAGGCCGCTGGCGGCCGCCGTTTCCCGGATCAGGATGGAACTTATTGAGCTCAAGCGCCAACTTCGCTCCAGACACCTCGCAACGCCTCCTGTGAACTCGCAGCTTGTCCCGGCAAGCCTTTTCCAAGCGTTTCCCAATCCGTGTGCCCTGAAGCTTTCTAGAAGCTCCCGCGGAAACTCCTTCCGAGAACTACCATGACTCTTTCAAAAGGCGTTGGAAAACTTCTGGCGCTCCGCTATCCGGGTTTTGGACTCCACGTGTTGGGCTCAAACGCCAGGGTGGTTTTGGCCAGAATGGCTTATGAAAACACCTTCGAAGCCTGTTGGTGCTGACCCGGGCCGTCTCGACGGGGCGCGAGAGTTCAGCAGGGGACACTTGCGTGCAAACGCCCCTGGAGCTGTGTCCCATGCGCGCGGGGAGATGCGAGCATATGCGTGGGCCCGATTTGTGCCAGGACTCGCTGAGGTCCCACTTGGCTTCCCCGACGACCAGCCATGCTTCCTGGACCTGGGAGCCCCGGTGGATTTCACATCTGGCGGCTGTCTGGGACGATCCAGGCACCCCCCGACCGCTCTCGACGAGGCACAGCCGCTGAAAAGCGCCCCGAGGCTGGAAAACCTTGGGGGACCGACGATAACTTCCGAAAACGATCTGGGCATCGTGCAGTGCGCCAGATGGCGCGCTGGAGGAGGCCATCTGGCCGTCGACCCGCGGCGCCGGCGTCCTGTCGGAGCCCCGCGGCGCCAGCAGCCTGTCATCGCCCACGCCGCGGTGCTCCGCGAGCGCCTCGGCGACGCCGCGCCCCCGAAAGGAAGAGGGCACGGCGGACGGCGACGCAGCGGACCTTCCGTGCGGCCCCGCGGCGGCGCTGGGATCGGGCACCCGGGGCGAGTCGGTACCCTGACATCGGATCCGCCGTACTTTGGGCTTGCACTTGTGTCGAACATGCATGCCGAACGATGCGAAAATGCAGGGCGGAACGTTCCGCCTCAGGAACACACATTGGGCAAGTGGGGCGGCTGTAAACTTCCGCCCTGCTCACGAGATCGCCCAAAAAGTACGGCGGATCCGAAATCCGAAGTCAGCCAACCTACGGCGGATCCGCGGTCGCCCAAACACGGCCAAATCTAGGACAGAAAAACATCCTTCAAGAACAGAAGACCCTCCGCAGCGCCAAACTGAAGGAAATCCGACCAGCCTTCTGGGCGTAGGTGGTCTCGGGAGTTTCCTCTTCCAACCCCCTTCTTCCCCCTCGGGGGATTTTTTGCCCTCCCCCCCACCCCCTCCCCTGGACCTGGACGGGGGGGGCGGCGAGGCGCTTGAGCGTCCAAGATGGCCCAAGAGGGCCTCGGAAAGTTCAGTAGCAATCCCATGGCTGGGCTCCAAAGAAGTCCCGCCGTTCCAGGACTGCAGAGGCTCAGATGCTACCGCGTCCGAAGGCCGCGTTCCATGGACACGTTGACCATCCTCCAGGGCTGCAAGGCACCAAGGCCCATCCGAATGGATTATTTGACACCGCCGTTCCTGCATTCGTCAGTGTACTCGACGTGGTCTTTGGCCACTTCTCACCGTCATCAACTGAATCACGGCGGAGACGAAAGTGGCACAGGTTTCTATCCGCCTGTGGCTTCCTTCTTCGTCATCGCATTCGTCCTGTTCAGCACCAGTATCATCATCACCACCATCTTCATCATATTGACCATGGCGACGATGAAGGTCATCGGAGGTTGGGGGGTAAGATCGCAGTCAAACGGAGACCCGCCGCCGGGAAATCGGTTTCGGTTTCGTGTTCGCGTCTCGCGTGCGGGCGAGGCGAAGCTGCGCGTGGTCCTCCTGTAGCTAAGCCGAAGTAGGAGCGAAAGTCCGTTCCCGCCCGACGGTGGCTGGGAGGTGTCCCAGTTGGGCCGGGCGGTGTCCTGGGTGTCAATAGGAGCGAAAGTCCGTCTCCCGTCCGCCGGTGGCCGGGAGGTGTCCCAAATGGGCTGGGCGGTGTCCCGGGTGTCCCTTCCGGGTATCATGGGCGTCCCGGCGCTAACGCATGTTGCTAGTTTCATAATTCATATTTTTCGGCGCCTGCGGCGGGCTTTCTGATCCAATCCCGCTTATCTTATCCAATCCATCTTGTCCAATCCAATCCATCTTATCTTATCCAACCCATCTTGTCCCATCTTATCTTGTCCCACCCAATCCGATCCATCCAATCCAACCCATCAATTCATTTGTTTCTGCGCCTGCGGCGGGCCAATCCAATCCATCTTATCTTATCCAATCCTTTTCTTCCAATCCTTGGAGACCTCTTGGGCCGTCTTGGGCTGTCTTGGGCTCTCTTGGAGCGCTCTTGGGCCGTCTTGGAGGTATCCTCGGCCGTCTTGGACCCCTCCTGGACCGTCTTGAGCGCCCAAGACGGCCCAAGAAGCGCCCAAGAGGCCTCCAAGACGCCCCGAGCGGCCATTAACACTCATCCTTCCGGCCCTCCCCCCTCCCCTGGACCCCTCCCTAGAGGGCTTCGCCCAAACACAACGTCATCACTCGTACCTCGCTCTTTCCGTTACCTGGGCCGGCACGGGAACGGAAAGAGCGCACTCAGCAATTTGCTCGAACATGCTCATGGCATCATTCGCCTCTCGAGTCTTGGTATTAAGAGTCTTTTGCGCCGAAACTCACTCTGCTCCTCCTGCTCATGCTTCTGCTCCTCTTTGTTCACCAACCAATCGACAATCAGCGTTCTTCCTCCTCCTCCTTCTTCTGCTCTTTCCAGCTCATCCTCTTACTCCTCATCCTCCTCCTCCTCCTCCTCTGCTCCTCCTCTGCTTGCTCCTCCTCCTCCTCCTCGTCCTCCTCCTCTCCTCCTCCTCTTCCTCCACCTCCACCCTCGTCCTCTTCATCCTCCTCTTCCCTCCTCCTCCTGCTGCGCCTCCTGCTGTTCCTCTTCCTCCTCCTGTTCGTGGTGCTCCTCCTCCTAAGAGCTGTTTAACGCCAGTCGTCGTTATTAATGAGGAGCCATGGTGTTATGAGCTTATGACGTCACTGTGAGCTCTTGGAAGTCTCTGTTATGTGGCGTATCCGAGCCTTCTTGGGGGTCGTTTTGGGGTCATTTGGGGCCGTCTTGGGGCCCGCTTGGTCCGACTTGGGGCACTTTCGGGGCGTCTTGAAAGGCTTTGGCCGTCTTGGGGCTCTCTTGGGGGTCTCTTCGGGCCTCTTGGGAGCCTCTTGAGGCCCTCTTGGAGCTCTCTAGGGAGCCTCTAGACCCTCTTGGGCTGTCTTGGGTCCCACTTGGGAGCCTCTTTGGGCCCTCTTGGGCCGTCTTGAGGCCTTCACGAGAGCCTTGAGGCTATCTCTTGGCACTTGGACCTCTTGGGCCGTCGTGGGCATCGAGCCGTCCAGAAGGCCATCCCACTCGACAAATATCGAGGCCGGAGGGCGATTCGACTTTTCGCCCGCCCGTCCCTCCCCCTCTGGACCCTCTCCCTGGGCTGACGCCCTACCAAAAACGGAACTGCGTGAACGCTCTTTCCGTCATCCGCCGCCCCCCTTTCGATTCATCGCAAGGGTGCCTGGCGCGCTAGATGATTTCTGTTTTGGTTTTGGTTCTTTTCCAAAAGGACTTTCCCTGGGGCTCCAGCGCGTCCCACCGGGGTCCCGGGAGGGAGCTCCAGGCCCGCAAACGACCTCAACAAGACGGCTCAAGATGGCCTCCACGACGGCTGAGATGGCCCTCAAGCTCGCCCAAGGTGGTCGAAAACGGCCTCCCAGACGGCCCACGAGGGTCCCAGATACGTCCAAGTTCGCCCAAGAGGCCTCCAAGACGGCCCAAGAGGCCTCCGAGAGGTACTTCAGGAGGGCCCGAAGAGGCTAAAATCATTCTTTTCCTTAGGTTGTTTTAAACAGTTTTTCGTATTTGCTCCTTTTCGGCTTTCCGACGACCCAAGACGGCCCAAGAGGACCCCAAGATCGCCCCCACAGCGCCCAAGAGGCCTCCAAGATGGCCTCAGGACTGCCCAAGAGGCCCCCAAGACGGCCCCAAGAGGGCACGAAGACGACCCCAGAGGCCTCCAAGACGCCGAAGATGACTTCTAAGACGGCCCTGGAGCACCCCAAGAGGGGCCCAAGTCGGCCCAGAGAGGCCCCACAAACGGCTTCCGACGGCGTCAGACGGGCCAGGAGCCCATCAAGATGGCCGAAGTTGGCTCGAAGCTGGCCCAAGACGGTCCAAGAGGCCTCCAAGAGGGCCTCCAGGAAGGCCAGAAAGCAAAAAAACACTTATATCCGTTGTGCTTTTAACGGATTTCTACCTAACAGCGAAGACTGATAGTTTTTTTTAGTAGGGTCAAAAGAGAACAGCATGACTCCCCAAGGGGGTCTGGGCGGAATTCGGACGGGAATCCGGACGGGAATCCGGGGACTCCTTTTTTAGCCAACAGTAGCGCACTTCGTGGTCTTCGAGTTCCCCAAACTCCATTCCTGGGCATGATTTTGAATGCCCCGAGCCAACTGTAGGCTACTTCGTGGTCTTCGAGTTCGCAGAACTCCATTCCTGGGCATGATTCTGAATGCCCAGAGCCAACTGTAGGCCACTTCGTGGTCTTCGAGTTCCCAGAACTCCATTCCTGGACATGATTTTGGAATACCCGGAGCCAACTGTAGGCCACTTCGTGTTCTTCGAATTCCCAGACTGAGGCTGAGGCCGAGGCTGAAGGCAGACTGAGGCTGAGGCTGAAGCAGGCTGAGGCTGAGGCTGAGGCAGGCTGAGGCTGAGGCAGGCTGAGGATGATGCTGAGGCAGGCTGAGGCTGAGGCTGAGGCTGAGGCCGAGGCTGAAGCAGGCTGAGGCTGAGGTTGAGGCTGAAGCAGGCTGAGGCTGAGGCTGCGGCAGGCTGAGGCTGAGGTTGAGGCAGGTTGATGCTGAGGCAGGCTGAGGCTGAGGCTGAGGCTTATGCAGGCTGAGGCTGAGGCAGGCTGAGGCTGAGGCCGAGGCTGAAGGCAGACTGAGGCTGAGGCTGAAGCAGGCTGAGGCTGAGGCAGAGGCAGGCTGAGGCTGAGGCCGAGGCTGAAGGCAGATTGAGGCTGAGGCAGGCTGAGGCTGAGGCTGAGGCTGAGGCATGGAGGCAGGCTGAGGCTGAGGCTGAGGCTGCAGGCTGAGGCTGAGGCAGCCTGAGGCTGAGGCCGAGGCTGAAGGCTGAGGCTGAGGCTGAGGCAGGCTGAGCTGAGGCAGAGGCTGAGGCTGAGGCTGAGGCAGGCTGATGCTGAGGCAGGCTGAGGCTGAGGCTGAGGCTGATGCAGGCTGAGGCTGAGGCAGCTGAGGCTGAGGCCGAGGCTGAAGGCAGACTGAGGCTGAGGCTGAAGCAGGCTGAGGCTGAGGCTGAGGCAGGTTGAGGCTGAGGCAGGCTGAAGGCAGACTGAGGCTGAGGCTGAAGCAGGCTGAGGCTGAGGCTGAGGCAGGCTGAGGCTGAGGCTGAGGCTGAGGCTGAGGCAGGCTGAGGCAGGCTGAAGGCAGGCTGAGGCTGAGGCTGAAGCAGGCTGAGGCTGAGGCAGAGGCAGGCTGAGGCTGAGGCAGGCTGATGCTGAGGCAGGCTGAGGCTGAGGCTGAGGCTGATGCAGGCTGAGGCTGAGGCAGGCTGAGGCTGAGGCCGAGGCTGAAGGCAGACTGAGGCTGAGGCTGAAGCAGGCTGAGGCTGAGGCTGAGGCAGGCTGAGGCTGAGGCTGAGGCTGAGGCTGAGGCTGAGGCTGAGGCTGAGGCTGAGGCTGAGGCTGAGGCTGAGGCAGGCTGAGGCTGAGGCTGAGGCGAGG